ATGAGTGTTGCCTTAATGATGGAATCGAAGGTACAAACGGTCGCCGTGCCGCTTCCGTGCTCAAATCACTGGCAGCGGTGGAAATACACGGCAGAGATAAATTGCGGTGGATCCCTTGCCGCGCCACGCCTTAAAGACCTTATAAGCGCGGCTTCGCATAATGTTGGATAGCGCTTAAACTCTGATCGTGACTGATTGCATTAACGCCGATTGCGGCAATGTGACTTAAGAATTATGTTTTCTTAATTAATGCCACATTTCTGTTTATTTTTGTTCATATCGTAGAATTATAAAAAGCGATAGTAAATAAACTAGATTAATGATAGTCAGTGAACACAATCGCGCCTTAGCCATTTTGCAAGTACGTTTACGGATGCATTTCGATTACACCATGTTGATAAAACTTGCGTACTGTATGCATGTGGCTGAACGTTTGACACTGACACGATGTTTAAACAATATTGATGTTTTACCCATGCACATCCATTAACACATATTTGCGTTCACGGTCGCGTCGGTAAAAAATGCGCAATGTATTTGTACAAAACGTATTTGTAAAAGCCACGTGCGCAGCCGCCGCCGGTATTATTTTCAAGTAACATTGTCTATTGCATATTGGAGCAAACGTCTCTCGAGAAAAACTTTTTTATTCGACGTCAAGCAGAATGTAGTATATAGTTCGATGTACAAGTTTAACGGAAATCGCAATTAAACGCTGAATTTTATATGACGTTCTTCTCGGTAATTATACTTCGTTCCGTTTGTAATTTCCTTAGGTAGCTGGTATTTTATTTAACTACCTTTTAATAGTCGACGAGTCGTCCGAGTTAAAGTTCCCGTGATACTCACTAAAATTCACTTGTGCCTTGAACTTCCTTTTAACTACGGAATAATTAAAATACTTCAATTAGATGAATTCTTATCTTGCCCGCCAGATTTCTTTGCCCCGCCTGCTTTGCCCTGGCGCCTTCTTTAAAGTTGATATAACAAATATTAATCGATCGGAAACTATATCTCTCAAGTGCATTTCATGGGAACGTAGATTGAAAATGTAAGACGCGGCGATAAATGAGAAAAAATAATTTCGAATAAGTTACGAGAAGATTTTATATAGTTAAAAATGTATTCTGCAAATAAAGATCTTAATTGTGCAATTTAGTGTCACATCCTTCGCGATCAGCATGTTTAATGCGGCGTTAATCGACGAACGATTGATAAGCGAAGACTCGCAATCGCGCTTTAGCCCCACAACCGCTATCATTACTTTGATATCACCGCATAAAGTTAGTGACGCGCGCGCGTATATTGCGAACGAACTCAAACATAATATCCTGAAAAGCACTCGTAACTCTATTTCATCGAGCCATACCTCGCACATGGCCCCAAACCACGATACCGCAATCTGCCTTTGCTGTCCCTAGTTTGACAGGTGTTTAATATTACTTGCAAGTTTTGATCTCTACGCATGAATATCTCTCTACACGATGCTCATGGTATGCACTCATTGCACAAGTACACATAAAAAGAGATTCAATTATTGCTATTAACACCAAAGCAATACATTTTTCCGAATGAATAATACAACGGATTATATGAATATTCTATTAGAATATTCTGAAGACTCTAATAGAAAGTATCAATGCTGGTAGCATAATTGAACATTGATTGCTATACTACACTATAAGTATGTATACTAAAGACTCCAATCCGATAAAAACCAGCACTTCATATCATAACTCAAATAATTTTGTAAATTAATTTTTATTAATATCCCTGAAAACAATCAAATTGCGATTGATTCTTAAAAAGCTCTTTGCAGTGAAAATATATCGATATCTGACGTATGTATATATAACACGCGTGCGATTATATTATATAACGTGCTACGTCGGTAGCTACGCTAAACGAGGAAGACAAATGGCGAAAAGTGACGAATGACAGATATAAGAGACAAATCTCGTATCGCACGAGAGAATTTCCGAGATGGAATCGCATCATCCGCATTCGTGGGTCGGGTGCCTTTCACGGGGAGAAATAACCGTCGCATCGACGTCACAGCCAAGCACATGGCGGTAATCTTCAAGGATAACTCGCGTTTCGGTGTCACGATCTGTCCGAAATGTAAACGCACTTTTTCACTCATTGAAAACCGCTTGTCACCCTTCTCTTCCATCGTGGAACACGCGTTACAGAGAACAACGAGGCGTCACCGAGCGGATTTTATTGACGTCCTCTTGAATTCTTCTCCGGCTTTTCCAACGGCGTTATAATGCAAAACGTCGGATTCTCAACGCACTCATATCGCGGTCTTCCTCGTCGTAGCTTCCGACAGCCGCTATACCGAGACAGCCTCATAATGTTCACATGACGGCAACTAAAGGAAAACGCCGCAGGTGCTCATGTACATCGCGGCACTACCTTTCCGGATAACGTGAATTAATAAAAGGTGCGTCAATCCAAGTACGTTTAACACGGTATTGCGAGAAATATAGTAGACATTTTTGTGCAAAAATCTATTGATACTCGTGATCGTACGCTTTACTGAAAAGTTTTGCGGTCAAAAGTAGACGTTTCTCATGGATATATAAAACTTGCAAACTAAAACTTACGTCACTAAGATATTGACTTGCAATCATCTTAAATTTGAATAATTGATTCATATATTTATGAGTAAAGATATTAAATACAGACAATTTAAAATTATTGCACATGTCAATGCGTTCCTTCAAAATGCAAAATGTTAAGATTGTAAATGCAAATAAAAAAAGTTATAACCCATCATGTTCTAATACTGCTCGAAGTTATTAATTTTATGTCCACGATAAACTTTTTCAACAATTAACTTATCTTTAAAACTGTTCTTTGAGTTTCAGCATTAAATTTTGACATTTTATACTCGGTAATAAACAAACAACGGACATATGATCTTATAGACATAAATTCGATTTTTTCTTGTGATTTGTTTACATAAATAATGCGTAAAATTGTGAAACTTTTCAAATTATAGGACCGGTGTGTACGGCGAGTACTGTCGGAACAACTAGCAACTAATGCATAATTTATTAAGATACACGGCCTCTTTAGTCGATACGAAAACAAAAGATAGAGAAACGAACGATCTGAGTCAAAACTTATCGTCGCCTTTTACCGGAAACAGCGTGCTTTTAAATATATCTCAACGAGGCGATTTATGGTACAGACAGATTTATGAGAATATCCACACGTCCGTTCTAACGATTTTATATCCAGCGCGACGGTACTCATGTCGTAAAGAGCCAACGATCGCATTAATCATTACGGCATGGCTGTCGGTTTGTTTTGTTGGTTTTGTTTGCACAAAATTTATTGCAAGCCAAGAGTAGATATTAATAATAAATAAATAAACATAAATCATAACATAAACATAATAATAAATAAATATATATAAATTATAATATACTGCAATACCTGCGTAATAGCGCGAGTTTGGTCTGACAACTTCGAAATACTATTATTTTTATGAACAAGTCAATCGCGATAAAAAAACGCCGTGCGATAATAAAACAAATTAGATTTAAAAGACAAACAAATTAGATTAAAATATATAGGAATAAAATTTTATTTCATTGACGATAAATTTAATCATTGGGTATATTAACAAGATTTTAACGTTTCCAAACACATTCATGTCTGTAAACTCTGTGACTGACTCGTCGTTTAAAAAACTTTTCGTAACAATTGTCGATCGGAAAACAATTGTGAGTCTTAACAGATAAAACGTTCGTTCGTCAACCAGTAACCATCTTAAAAAATTTCTGTTCAATTTTGTAATATCAAAATATGCTGTAACTCGATAAGATTTGAGGGAATTTTGTAACTATTCCTACAAATATATGTAACAAAAAATATTAATATAAAAATATTGAGATTTTGGAAAAAATTATCTGTTCGAAGCCTAAATAAGACTGAAATAAATATACATACTTTTCAATTAATAATTCAAAGTTCAGTTTGCAACTAACAATGTAAATATCATCTATACGTATTGCAAACAGTTGAATGCACACGTATAATTCTACACTTTTACCATAATATTATAAATATTAGTATATATAGTCTGTACCATATATTAGTAATATAAATAACTTATACTGAGCCAAAAATACAATAATCTCTATATGTATAGTAATAATTTAATTAAATTGTTTTCAAGATTTTTCTCTATAAATTCTGAAATTATCTTACACAACAGCATAAAAGATTCCTGAATGATACGTGTGTGGCGACGTTAAATGTCTTATATTGATTCAAAAAGATGTCTGATAAATATATCTTTACTGATAAATATAGCTGTACTAAATATTGAGCAGTAAGTTTGAAAGAGACATATGTTTGTGCACACAATTTCACAAAGAATGCAAATCAAGTGAAAATTTACTGTGTATTGTAACAATTTACTATGCAATAGTAAGTAATGCGCAATTTAGCTGATACAAAAATACAAGGTAAGGAATAAGCGATATAAAACAATTTATTGTCGTCTATTATTAAAGATAACATACTTTTAAATATATCTTAATAAAATAATTTATGAGGCAGAAAAGTTTATAAAAATATCAATATGTTCATTTGATTTTATATTGAACCAAAAATCGTACGTATATTGTAAATTACCAGAAATCGTATTAATTTTTATGCTTCTCGTTTGTTGAATAAATCAGTCAATTGTACAATATTATTCATTAGCAATAAATTTTGTCTCGAACAAATTAGAGATTTATAAAGACAAATTAAAAAGATTTTAAAGTTACGTCTTACTTAAACCTCAATATAAAAATTCAAATATAAATTCAAATAGTTTTCAATTAACAATTCAAAATTTAGCGAATTATAATATATTACTTATACTACAAATTTGTATTTTCACTACTTAGAGATACATTTTATGCGCATTTCAAATAAAAATGCATTTCAATGAGATTATTTTTACATTTTTACGAATACTATATATACTGTTTTAGGTAAACAATGTAAGTGCAATTTGCAGTTTCGACAAAGTTTGCTGAGATGATTGAAAGGATGTGGACTAAAACGTGTGCATTTTCAACGTTTGCGTTTTTCTTGTGTGTGATGGTGCAGTATAAAGTGGTATACGCTAAAAGGATATTATTTATAGCAAATATTCCCTCGTATAGCCATCAAATAACTTATCGCGGTTTGTTATTAGAACTAAACAGACAAGGTTACGAAATTGTGGCAGTCACTACAGATCCTATAAAAAATTCTTCTTTAACAAATTATAAAGAGATTGATTTGCATCACTTTTACAAAGGTTTTCCCGATGTAAAAGATGTAATGCCATATAACGGTATTTTCGAAGCAAGAAGCAAATTATCTTTTTTAAATACAGAAATAATTTTATGGAACGTAATACACATTCTGAATCGTGAAGTCTTCAAACATCCTGAAGTGAAGAAATTATACGCAGCTAATAGTGATGAACACTTTGATGCAGTTATCATAGCGCAGGGCCCTACAGCTTCGCTGAATGCTTTTGCATACAGATTCAACGCGCCTCTCATAGGTAACAAAAACAATATACTAATTTATAAAAAGACACATTACAATCCGCTTAGTCTTAAGCATAATTATCAAGTAATAAATGGCAAATAATAATGACATATCACACATAGGTATCTCAAGCTTGGACGTATTTAGTCATTTGCGTTATACGTTCGGATCTGTGATTCTTCCTTCGCACGATTCTCATTGGGAAACTAATACACTAATCGACACTAATAACATATCATTTTGGAGAAGACTTGTAAACTTTTTAGAAGTGTGGACTCAGATATATTATTGGCAGAACGTGTGTATCCCCAAGGAAGACGCGATCACGAAAAAATACTTAGGAGAAGATACGCCGCATGTCGATGATATAACTAGAAATATGAGCATATTTCTCGTGAACAGACACCCATTATTTACGTATCGTAAACCAGAGCAACCAAATCTCATATATTATCATGGTTTTCACATAACAAAAACACCACCTGCTTTACCAGAAGTACATATTTATTATCATATTATCTTCCCATTGTTTTCAAGTGAGATTCGATAGCGGTTTGTATAACGCGTATAACTGTTTATTACGATTGTTAGAATGTAAAGCAGTTCCTTGATGATGCGAAAGAAGGATTTATTTACGTCAGTTTGGGAACTAATGTTAAATGGAAGGATCTACCGAATAAAGCGTTTGAAGCTTTTCTCGAAGTATTCTCCACGCTGCCGTGCAAAGTTCTTTGGAAATTTGATCCTGAACAATTACCCGGGAAGTTCGAAAATATACTGATATCGAAATGGCTTCCCCAGCAAGGGGTTCTTGGTAATACTATGAGCGCAAATATTTCAAAGGCAACAATCTTTGTACATTATGGAGCTAGCAATCCCTACAATTTATGCTAATTTTTCTGTTCACAGCTCACCCAAATATTCGGTTATTTTTTTATCAAGGTGGTCTTCAAAGCACCGAAGAGGCTTTTTATTATGCAGTTCCGCTCGTAGGATGTCCCTTTATATGGGATCAGGAGTATAACGCGCGAAAAATACAAAAACTTGGCGCTGGAATTTATCTCCAGAATAATAATATTACAAAAAGTAGCATTAGAGCTGTTATATACGAAGTTCTAACTAACAAGAGGTACTGTATTACTGCATAAATTACATGTCTGTGATTAATCTCCATGTCTTGTTACATCTTAATTAATATACCAGACAGAGAGATTTTGAACTGCATGCGCCAATGTAACAGTATTGTTCCTTATTTTCAGGTACAAAGATCAGATAAATCGTTTGAGTAGAATTTACAGAGATGCACCGTATGACACTCTTCAAAATGCGGTACGATGGATAGAATTCGTGATACGTCGAAATGGAACACCTTTCTTGCGAAATAATGTTTGCGACTTGCCATGGTATCAACGATACGACTGGGACATCATCGGATTCCTGAGTATAGCAGCATTTATAGCGTCCGTTATTTCTCTATGGGTACTATTTCAGCTTTTACGATTTTACGCAGGAATGTCATTGTATTCGCGAGTTGGTAGTTCTAACAATTCTTATACCAAATCAAAAACACAATAACCTCTGCGTATAAAATAATTCTTTGATTTAATTAAACCAAATAAAAGTTTCCTCAATTTGTGCAATTCCGTAATTTAAAAAATTTTTATTGAAAAATAAATATTTTTATAATCTGTCTGTTATATAAACATATATATGTAATATATTGGAAGATGTGTTTTTACACAAGAGGTTTAATAAATATGCGATGCATACAATTCAACAAATACGAATCCATTTCGATATGATAAAAACTTATTCAAACATTATGTGGCTCATATTTTATAAATATTATGTGGCTCATATTTTATAAACTTATTAAAATATAAAATAAATGCAAGTGTGACGAAGAATTTTTATGTTTGTTTTCGTGCAATATTATGTGAAACACATTATTTTCAAAATTACTTCTGACAATGCCAACAATAAAATATAAAAGAGAATTTGTATTTAGATGATTAATTGTATTTGGATGACAAACCCCACAGAACAATAACATCAAGAAAAGTAAAACAGAATATTCCTGTACCAATTTGAAAATGATTAAAAAATGATTTATCTTTTTATCTTTATAGATGCATATTGCTTATCACTGCTTTATCATATAGCATATTATAATTATTAAAATATGTACATATAATTATATCACATAATAATATAAATGCAATTTGTTTAAATATCTTGTTCCTTCTTTCATGATACACAAGTATACAATTATATATATTTGTGTATGTATGCTAATACGTGATTTTTCGAATAAGTTCGATAGGACGCAACTGGCAATTTATATTGTTCTCGAGAAGCATCCAATAAAACACAATCGTTCGCGCCTATTATCAACTGTTCAGACGCTACCGATTGACCCGAATCTCTGAAGAATAGAAAGAAATCAGAATACTAGTTGCTACCTAAGGTCGACAAACGTAGTATTTTTTAACGATATCCGCATAAAAAAAATCGCCATTATCTTTGCCGAAAGTATGTAAATTTGAAAATATAATAGTTATTACGAGATATCTTGTATCATATCGTATAACTCGATTTCTAATCGATCGATCGATTTCTAACACTCTTTCGTTATTCTGTAGTATATAATAAACTCTTAAATAAAATTAAAATTTAATCAATGTAAATCAATTACCAGAACTTAAGACAATTCTTAGATAATGTTTGTTGACACAATTGTTGTCAATTATTCAAGATAAAAATACAACCAAATTCATTATATTTATAGTTTTACTACATAAATCAAATTTTTATATAAATAAAAAAATTTTTTTTCTAAAAATAACACAATTAAACAAATACTAATTATTGATTATAAATTTAATGTATTTAGTTACAAGGAAAAGATGACGTATTTGAGTTCTCTTTCCAAGAATCAACCGTACGACAGCATGGAAAATGCAATTTGATAGATAGAATTCACGATGCGTCACAAAGGAGCACATAATCTTCGATTTACCGAAATCGATAAGCTATGATATCAATGTTATGACATGGATATTATTGCACTGCTCACCACGACGCTACTTATATTAACCTGCGTGATAATGCTAATTATCTTTCAGATTTTACGTTTCATCTTTAAGAATGCTATGCTTTAATTTATAAATTTTCTCGGCGGTATGACAAAAACATTGAAATATTCAAGTTACTTATGTATATTCTGTACATAACTTTATTTTACGTGTGATTAAAACTGAAATTATTTCTTGAACGAAAAGAAATGTTAAGCACGAGTACATTTTTCAATTTTTAATATGTCTGTTCTATGTTTAATTTTTCATTATTTTTATCATTCTATTAGATTTATAATTTTATCTTTATGAAAAATGGAAATGTGATATTACTTGTCATATTACGAGCCATGCTGATTCACATATAATTATTTTACACGTAACATTATCATGAATTATTTTGCAATTTAAAATAATTAGTTTAAAAATACTAATTTTGATGGAAGTTGTCTCCGCGCTATCAATTTTTTTTATAAAATAACAATTCATAATTAAAATTATATAATAATTGATTTAATTTTCAACACATGGCTTGCATAATCTTAGATATAGTTTTCTTCAGATTTAAATTTTTACATGTTCATATTTATTTCTACAAATGTCTCAACATCTATGATAATTATAATTTACTATGTGTCAAATATGTAATTTAATATCTGTGCACCAAATAATAAAATATAAAAATCTAATTTTATTAATTATGTAAATCATTTCTAATTTTCAAATATTTATGTTATAAAAATTTTGAAAAGGCTTTATTTGATTTTGTAAAGAACTGTGCTAATATCATAATATTTCTTTACCTACACTATACTACACTACATAATAATGAATATAATTTGTCAAATGATACTATCATAATTTTCATATGCCTTAAGACATCTGATAATGTTTACATTGAATAATAATATTATAACATTGTTATATAACCTTTTACATACCGAAATAATATACCAATAGCACTCATAATAAACGTAAAAATCTTATTGATGTGAGCTGTGTTGAAAATGGGTCGCATTTAGCTTTAACAATGTTCCTGTTTTTAATCACAAGATATCCAATATGGAACAAAAGAATATTGATTATAACGCCAACGCCGTCGTTTAGTCCGGGAGAGTCTTTCAATCTCTGTATCTCGCCTTGAACGAGCGAGGTCACGAGATTGTAATTTTCACAGCAAATCCAATGAAAAATTCGTCTTTATCAAATTACACGGAAATCGATTTCAGCTTTCTGTATAAGAAAATGCTGGAATATAAATACGATAGTAACGTCATTTATTCTTGACGAAACTCAGATGAATTGATGTTTAGAAAACATATAAGTGAGTTGCAAAATATTTTAGTAGAAGAGGTGTTCATTTATATTTGGATTTAAAAACGTTGTATGCTAAAAATAGTAATAAATCGTTTGGCACTGTCATTATAGAAATGATAATGAGGCCAGCGTTATACGCTTTGGATCACAGATTTAATGCTGTCATAGGTAAAATCAAAATTAGAGTTTATTAAGCTACGATCAACTTTAGAATTCTAAAATTTTCCTGATTTTAATTTCAATAACAGATGATGCGAAATCGAGTTCAAACTTGTCGAAGTATTTGGCATAATACTGTTTGTATTCTTATAGCTCATCCTAACATTAAAGCATTCGCGTAAGGTGGACTCCAGAGTACTGAGGAAGCTGTGCATTACGCTGTTCCTCTCATAGGATTACCGTATAGGATCAAGAATTTCGCATTAATTACCTAGCATCACTGGGAGTAGCACAAAAATGAGATATTTTCGTATGCAGCAAAGAAGACATCGGCAACACCATTCGCTATTTCCTCAATAATACAAGGTGATACAAGAAGATTGGTTACGTAAATTTACGCATGTTCCCGCATCTTCTTGTTAAATAAATAATCTTAAAAAAAAACTGACTTTTACTCAGTGAGAAATACAAATAATAAAAAATGATGTCATGTGCTTACTTTAGATACAAAGAAAATATGTTAAAACTAAGTGCATGTGTAAAAAAGATAAACCGTACAACAGTTTGAAGAACGCTATATGGTAGTTCGAATTTGTAATGCAATATAAAGGAACACCGCAGCTTCAATTCAGTGGCATCAATGAACCAAATGATATCAATGATATGACAGAGATGTCATTGCTTTCCTTGCGACAATCACATTTGTAATAAGCTGCGTTATTCTTGCCGCGTGTTTACGGCTCTTCGTTTCCAGATCTTTCCGAAAATTATTTTAACTAAATAAGCTGCGATAACATAAATGTTAAAGTTTCACTATGTTACGCGCTATTGATGTTAAACTATGTGACTACTGGAATTTCATTAATATAGCACCGAATAAGCACATTCGCGAGATATATACTCTCCTCAGCTATGAGCCTTCCAAGTTAACTACTAGTATGACAAAGTTGTGTGATTATCCTATTTCGTAACACATAAAACACATGTAGAACATCAGAGTATGATGGAGTTAGCTAATTCGAGTCTGTGTTAATATTATAGATAAGCATAGAGATCACGCAATCTGAAGCGTAATTAATGTAAAGTCCAAATAATCCTTAATCACAGACAATTTGTCAGTTTATAAAATATTTCTAATGTTGTAATTATCATATAGATAATAATAATTATATAAAAACAATTAAGAGACAAAATATATAAAAATATATAAAATTTACAAGAGCATATTCGTAAATATAAAGTTTACAAAATTGTTAATTTTACTTCTATTCGCAGC